ACACACACACACACATATCTTACATACACATAAGTATTTGATAAAATTTTCATAGATCTATTAAAAGGAAGTTTGTGTCACTGATATGTAACTGCGGAGATGTAATAAAAACTAAAGTTAAAATATTAACTGAAGATATATATGAATCATAGCAATTTAAAACATAATCAATATGTTAAGAAATAATTATTACACATATGAAATAATTATTTATGACTAATTCAGTCATTAATCTGTGTTACTAAGGCAGATGACAAATTTCAAATACTATATAGTGTTATACAATGATAAATTACGAATAATTAGTCTGTCACTAATGTAAAAAATACTTGAATATAATTTTAATTATTTTATTGACATAATTTTCAAGTCTAATAATGTAATTTAAAATATTTAAAAAATTTCATGTTATTACAATTTAAATGATAAGAAGACTATCTATGATTTAATTAATCCTACTTATATTTTTGCTACATAATTTTCGTACTAAATAAATTTTACTTAGTTAATAAATTTTACTTAGTTAATAAATTTTACTTGTCAATTTAACGTATAAATTAATAAATAATAAATCATATGAATATATGAATATCATATAAATATATAACTTTTCTTCTTTATTAAAATTCTGTGCAAAATTTTTAATTTATTAAAAATTTACAAGGAAAGCAAATACTTTATATGTTCATATTAGACTTAATGCGCAGTGCTAACTTATTCATTTATTTGTTTAAGAGAATACTCGATATTCATTTGTTTCACAGTGTTAATGTTTCGTAGTGAGAAAATGATTTACCAGATACGGGTAATCGGTGTTTGTTTTTTATTTACAGTACAATGTGAATGTTTACACATTCGCACAGCTACCATTCGCACAGCGCGAACTAGCAAATACCGACGTGAATTATTTCATAGTTGTGTTGTTGTCGCAGTATCATCTCATGATTGTGCGACGGATAAAAGAAAATCTTATCATTCTCTATAATAAGAACAATTAGAGTAAGATTTTATGCGACTGATTAATTTTCTCAATTAAGGAATTATGAACGTCGAAGCGACTATTTTTTGAAAATATAATATAATGGAAATCGAATAGGTAATACACATTACAAGTTATGATTTTATGCTATTTATAGGTAATAATTGTGTGTTTCAACGAAGTATAGATTCGAATATACCATGTATTGAACTGAATTTTTCAATTGATTCAAATATAATTTGTGGCAAATATACAGTTAAAATATACACCTCACCGATTTTGCCATTTAGATACTTTGTAGGAAAGAGAGGAGATAAGAAAAAAATAAGTAGCGGTATTGGTTAGTAGACATAATAAATTAAAATTTTACAATAAGATTTGTACAATATTTAATTTTTTGATAGTAGAGCTCCTTTGTAGAGGAAAGGAAGAGTAGAACACTGTCTTTACGCATCATATATTTTACGATGCAAAGCGAGTTTCCATATATGTTTAGAACTTTCCATACATAGATTTAGATTGAACCTCGTTTTGCGTAGAAAGTTGTAAACTCGTGTGAAACCTCACTTTGTGAAGGGTGCCTTACAACAAGCGACTCCGTGTAACACAATGATTATCTCATCCTTGTTTAACAATGATGCAGAACAACAAGGATGTAATGATGCACCGTGTCACACCGTGTCATGTGTGTCTCTTGTTGGAAGGCATCCAAAGTGTATGTATAAAGGCAGTGTGCTTTGCACCCTCTTTCAGAGACCTACAAAATAGACACATAGGTTTGGATTGAACTTTGCTTTGCATGGAAAATTACAAACATGTATATTCATTACTATAATAAAAAAAAACAAATTAAATCTTTATATAAGCCTTATTGTGATACTGTAATTTATTATATCATCTAAACCAATATCGTTCCCTACTTCAGTTTTGTGAATTATTCAGAACAACATATTTCTCTTAACATATCTATAAGGTAATAAAATCGGTGAGGTATAAGCAAATTATATATTTACTTAATTTGTTTATCTTCCGATGTAATACATAATAAATCGCAGAATCAAGTAATTTGTGGAATAAAAAACCACGATATATCGATCATTTATAAATAACAAATGTATTTCGTAATTTATGTACTTGATACATATTGTGTGTGCAATATTGAATTATGAATGTATTTTTAAACAGTTCATCATATCTTAATGAAGCATTAATTATTGAGTATCATGTATTAGAGTGAAATTGCATTATTTCTGAATTTTTCGATCATCAATGGAACGTTGTAACACAAAATAAATTGATTTGGATTCGAGCAGCATTACAATGCATTCAAATAATAATTATCAATAGTGTAAAATAAATTCGATGTTTATATATCGATGATGTTTTAAAACTTACTTTCATTCGCTAGATTGATTGTGTTAATTCGCAGATATTAATACCATACTTTTTCGTGTTATAAACTTATTCTTTTGTTACAAAATGTTTTATTTTTCTGTTACTTGTGATTAATGTTGAAAAAGTCGTATAAAATATCACACAACTGTTCTTTTCTAGTGATTAATGTACGGTCGTAATTAACTGTATTTGAAAATGTGAATGTTGTATATAACAAAAAAAAAAAGAAAAAGATTTGGAGACATCAAGTCGGTGGAACAATCGTGAGATAATTTTTTATTATTTAGTTTGTTATTTATATAGTTATTTATATAGTCTTTGTGTACAAGAAGACAAAAGCTCAAGAATAAAAATCACAATATCACCAGAACTATGAAAATTAATAATAAATATAGTAATAAATATTTAATCGCAATATATATTGCGATTAAAGACTTGGTGCGCTAATTCTATGTAATATTCTCGTGTTAAATTTGATCGTTTATAAGGAAAATTATTGCAACGTCAAATATTTTTATGTTATAAAATATATTTTTATTGAAATTAATCAATCTCCAGAATATACTATTAAAGTAGTGTACGGTTGTTAGAAATTATGGAGGCATTCTTAACATAATAAAAACGTATATTTAAAAAACAAGTAATTGTTTATTTGAGCGCATTTACGATGTAACACCATGACGTGTTACGAATCAACGAATAAAATATCAAACCCCAGAAAGTTTCGGTGATAATGTGCAGATGCTGCATGAAATAACGGAAGCGCGAGCGAACGCATATCGGAAAAATGTCTCGAATGTTGACAGAACAAGTTATGCAATTTTGATGGAACTTTAGAGCAATGTGTGCGAGTATGTGTGTGTGAAATCTTCGAAAAATCGATATCGTTCGATTATTGTCAAAGAAAACTCTTTTCTTCTTCTTCATTATCATGATATGTACGTGTTAATCATATGCATATATGTGTGTGAAATATGAATTACACGTTATTTATGCTTTTTTTCCCGAAACTAACTTGTAATAAATTCATGCGGACAGCGTCTTCAACTTTTTGTCTTATACTATCTATCTATATGTCTAAAGACGACGGATCGAAGCATTAAAACTGTCATTTTATTTTTCGGTTTTCTCTCTCAAGATTTTATCTCTGAAGATATAAATTTTTTGGCTATCTACTATAGAAAGATTTTTATAGCTCTACGTCATTTATACCATGTTGATTATTGTTACAGGCTCTTCAAATCTTTATACTCAAATTCTATTTTTATTGCTTGTTGCATTTCCAATAAATTTTCATTGTGAAGGCAATTCTTAAATGTATCTTTCAAAATTGTTACATATATCTACAAAAAGAAAATACAGATTATAACTATATATATATAATATATATATAAATGTTATTTCCTTATAATTTTCTTATTTGATATTTAAATCCACAAAGAATTAAATCGTAACAAAACTTATAATAATTTAAAGATAGATTTAACATTTAGTCTTTCTAGAAATTATATTTAATTTTTATAACAGTATAACTCAGAATGGCTTTATACGCAAATCTATCCTTTCAAATTAATTTATATAAATGGCTCTTTTTTTATGCATAGTCACTTAATGTATTATTAAACGACCACATACGATTGTTTTCCTGGCAATTAAAGTCTGCATTTACCAGTTTCGTAATATCGGTTTTCAATTGGAACGTGGCGCGTTTCAATCAATCCTGCGTATCTAAAAAAAATCCGACACTCGTTCTTAAAAAACTCGGCACTCACTCCGATGCTCGACAAAATAGAGGTAAGTTTCGTTGTCCATCTATCTCGTAACGATCGTTCCGCGAAATTAATTATCTTAATAAAAACAACTCATTTATTTTACGCCTCGCGTAATCAGCTACCGCATCGATAACGCCATTGTGCGTTTTCTCTCACATACTATTTAAAAGAACCATCGTCATCGTAGGAAAGTCAAGTATATACAATAATTCCACTAACACAACAACGACTTTGCGATAAAGATGCGCGTTAAGCCATAATCACACTGTATAAATGCGCGATTGTGAATAGCGATTGGCGATTACTTACAATCAATCAGAGCAATTAAAGCAGTCACCGATTACTCTACTTTAAGTTGTTGAAAAGTAATAAATTGTCAATTACCGATCACAGTCGCGTAATCGCTAATGTAATTACAGCTTTAATGACATTATAATTTCGCGTGCCAATGTCCTCTTGATTACCATTACTCACGCTCCCTTTCTCCTTTTTTTGCAGAAGTAGTCTAGACTGCCTTTCTACGTCCCCTTCAAAATGAAAAATGATCGCCGATTGCTCAGGAATCGATGATGCGAGTTAAATCGTCCTTTCAGGGTATATACATGATATATGTATGCACACATAGACTAAGAATCGCTACTTCCCAAGAAGCCTCCCCTTTTACGCGATTTGTGCGCGTTCCCGGATGAAATTTCAGCCGCTCATGAATTTCACCGCTCGATTATGTAACACGATACATGAATGATGAAACAGAATCAGTCTGACACACATGATCGTATGCGATTTTACCTTGCTTCTGTTTCGCGGTGCGAAGTCCTCTTTGCTAGGTTTCCTGCGCTTGTCCTTGAGTCCCGGTAAAATAAAGGGTAAACCCGGTCGATCGGGTTTAGCGACTAACGAGCTTCTTTCGAACACAGTGTAACAGGAATCACCGATCCGAGTAGAGTATAACACGATATAATATCTTTTTATTGCTCTTATTGCTTGTCGATCGGCACGCCTGCGTGCGCGTGCTTATAGTTATGCGTATCACAATATTTAAACGTATATTTGCTCGTTTCGCTTGTATACTTGTGCGCTCGTATGCATTTACCTGTATATATACGTATGGTAATTTATGCGAAAGCTACCAACGCTATAACGTCGCGTCGTGATCACACTATATTTGTTTTATCAGGATCCTCTTGTCGTTATCGCTTAACTACCGTCCCGTATCGTCATCGTCGTCGTCGTCGCAACCCTTGTCTCTCGACCCCGATCTATTCCCTTTAACGTATCTCTATTCTCGACTGCAGGTACTCCCGCTTCCGGTGTCTTTCGTTTAAACGGAGCGTTCAAATCGGTTGACCTGGACGACACGCGACGGATGCTGAACACTATCGATTACGTTTTAAGAGCTTGAATGCGGATAAAATCAACGGTTGTGAACTGCATCGTCGTTGAAACTAATGAGTCAACGATAATGCTTACTTCATCGCGACGGTCCGATTGATAGTACCGGAAGTGCATTGACAATAATGCCGGTGTCGTATTGCTGCCGGCGATGGCGGCGATTTTTCTTGGATGTACTACTCGGCGGCGAAATCTCGCGAAAGCTCGTCGGGAACATTTGCCTCGCTGTGACGTGGTGGTTACGCGCCTCTGAAACGACGCTGCCGTTTCCGTTTCCGTTTCCGTTCAATTCGATTCCGTTTCGTTCCGTTCCGTTCGCGAGGATTTCGCACGGTTTTGGTGCTCCTTGTGACTTCTCTCGGTTACGATCGCGTGTCGTTGCGTCAATCAGGCGACGATTATCCTAATTACAACCATCGATCTAGAAAGAAAGAGATAAAGAAGAGGGTGGTTCGTAGTTCTGCTTTTTTACGCGCGCAGTCTACATTCTACACGCGAGACTCGCATAATCAATCGCGTTAACAGCAACTCGTTTCCCACGGAGGAGTCGACCGGAAGTCGATAAATCGATGGAGAGCATTGAAAGGAATTTATTTTCAGTATGAAATAAGGATAATGTAGATACTTGGCAATTAAACTATCCAGTTGACGCTGTTTATAATACCAAAAGTATATTAGAATTCAGGAATGTATCAATTTAAAAATGAAACAAAAGATTTGTAGCTTAAGCTACAACGAAAAAGTATAAGTCGTGTGGGAATTAAGAGGAATAAGTTTAATCGAAAATTTTGATAAATACGGGATATTTAATGGAAACATATTCTTACTTTATTATTTGTTAAAGTTTTTAGAAATAAAGTATCTTGATAACTCAGCTTTAAACACGAAATTGACAAACAAAATTTCAAGAATGTAAACCGAAGAAGTCGAAGGATGAAATATCTTCTTTTCATTTTATGTTAATAAATGTAATTTTCTTTAACAGAAATGTTGATGTATCTATAAAATGACAATCGAAAAGTTGCTGAAACTAAATCGTTGTTATTTGATGACATAATCAAACCAAATGAAATAAATTAAACACTTTAATGAAATAAATTAAACGTTGTAAAAAAAAACTTGTTATTTTTCTTCTTTTGCGTTCTGTTCTATAAAAACAGAATGGGATTTTTTTTTACAGAATAATGTTTAATTTATTTCAATACGAATACAATACAAATTCAAAGTCAGTCATACTTTTCAAAAATATTAAGATGCAACACTCGGATCGAACGATTTCTCAAAATTCACAGCAACTCCCCGATTATTATTCTTTGTTATATACCTACATCTATTTCATCTCTCTGCAAAGAGACTTCGCAACCCAAATGTGCGTTAGATCCTCATTGAATCGAATGTCCCGCAAGCACGTATCATTCTCAGCATTCTAGTGAAACTCGCGAAACTCATGCGACGATGCATGCGAAATTCTACGCTCGTATGACGTGAAAATGCAACATATCATGAAATCGGTTACTCGCTTGGGTGCTCGCACTTCGCCATCGTCGTGTTCCGTACTCACTATTTTCTCTAACCGTCTAGAGGAGAGAAAGAGAAAGAGAGAGACCAAGGGAGAATCTTGAGAGCCCATGTGCACCCCGTATCGTTAATATTTCAGGGTAATTTGACGTCATGATTGGCAACATGCATTTCACGTGAATGAGCAACGCACGTCGTTTGCACCACTGCGATGCTCTGATCGGAGAATCTCCGTCGCGCATCGATGATCCGTGACAAACCGATTGCAATGGCGAAATGGCATCAATTGAATATTTCGCTACGCGTAACAGCGAGTGGCTTTTTGAGGAAGAAAACTGAGAAGCAAACTTTTAAGTATTCCTCTCTAGAAAGAACGATATTTTTGGAACTGTAAGAATAATTCAGGGAACAGTAATCTAATCTCAGGTTTATGCGGAAGTGTATTTGCATATTCGGGAAATGGATTTTAACTACAATGCGTCCTTAATTCACAATCTCTTCGTTCAATGGTACATTCTTTGAATTAAAAATTAATCTTTTCGAAACTTTAAAATTGTCAGTATAAATTATCTTAAGAGCACGATTAAATTTAAAATTATAAATTTCTGTTAAAGCAATTTTCATTTGAGATAAACTAAAAAGGAGATTTTTTTTCTTCAATTTTTTCGATCTACAATAGAGTCTCTCTAAATTTGAACTTCTGTAATTTTTGTATTCCTCACACGTACTTTTACAAACACTAATGTCATGTCCCTTCCATGTCATGGTAGGCTGGACATGTGTTGCGTGCGCATCTGCACTTAATTGTACTATTCTCACAATGTATGCAATGTAATTCCATAGGCAGGTTATGTATAACTATTTGTGTAACGTACATTGTAAAAAATAAAATGTTAATTTTAACTTAAAAATATAAAAATGAACATTTTGCGTTAATTTTAACATTTTTACATGTCTCAGAATGTCCACTATATGTCTTTAAGTTAAAATTAACATTTCATTTTTAGTATATTCTTTTGTGATACATAATATATGATAGATACATACGTACACATGACTTGTTCTGCTAAAGTTATGTGCACTGTAGTGCACTTTGACAGGTTAGCATGCGCAATTGCGTTCGCGCAAGTACGCGATGATTGGTAGACAGGTACTCTATAATTTTGCCATTCTACTCTTATCGCCCCATGGGTCAAATTTAGAGAGACTCTACTGTAATACGTCCTTGAAACTTTGTTTGTCAATTTTACGTTTCAAGCTACCTTAAAGTTATATCAACATATTTATTTTAAAAAAATTTTAACGAATAATGACACCGCAATAAATTTGTACTAATAAAAAAATATCAATTCTAAATTTACTGATAAATACGCCATGTAGAACTAAAATTTGCATCACGTACGACTACTGATAAAACGAAATTTTTATATTAAAATTTGATTGAAATAAAGAGATAACAAAACTTCGGGGCTAAATTCAATTTATAAAATGAAATTTATACATTATATAAGTTCGCTTGTGCTAAAGCTAGCGGAAAAAGTGACTGTTATCAGATATATTGAAATAATCTCCAGAGAGAGAGCTGAATGCGTAATAAAATTGTGTATCCGCATTCGGATGCACACAAATTCGCGAAAACATGAATTTCAAGCGCAGTTTTGTCCATTGCCGTGATATACCAAGTGTAAGTGATTTTTTTTATTTGAATAGCATTCTTATTATTTATCTTACAAAAATAAGAAGATACATCACCGAGAGAATCGAAGAGGTTGAGACGTGTAGCACAATACAAGCGAAGCGTCAATAGACAGGAAATCATTTTATACGTCCCCCTCTTTACTCCCCTGTAAACGAGCTTCTCATCACTCTTGCAAATCGAAAACGTTCAATTTCTCGTGCTCTCCTCGACCCATCTTCGCTACTCTCGTGGGAACTTGGCGTACGAGTAGTATTGATCATTCCCAGGCTGCAGCCCCCCTTCTTCCCTCCCCGCCTCCTCGGCATCCTCCGACCATCATTTCGCGTCCTCCGACCTCCGATCTCTGACCTCCGACCTCTGTACCTAAATCTGACTCCCTTCCTTCCCCACGGATTGCATCGCGACATCGTGCCCCTCTGTTCTTGCCCGCAGGCGTCGCGATATCACGTTTGATGTGCTTTTTCATCGGAAATCTGCATTTTTCCACGTCGCTAAGTTACATTTGGGAAAAAAATCGTACAAAAACATTTTTTTTTTTAACATATCGAATATAGAATTATTTATAGGAAAGTTAAATTTACTTTACAATCCGATCTTGATCAAAATAAATCGATAAAAAATAAATACTTAATTTTTTAATTCAATTACTTGTTTTTAATAATTGCTTGTTATATTAAATATTAATAGTAATAATGAGGTATAATCAAACATTAGAATAGGGACTCTTTATTCATAAATATAAGAAACTAGTATGTATTATTGAAACAAAATTTAAGAGATGAAAAGTTTCCAACGGGGGGGGGGAGGGGGGGGGGACTATCACACAATATTAATAATATAACTTTTCTCAAGTGAATCAACTTTTTCGGACGATCAGGTGGTACATAGTGGACATAGACAAAGTCCACTATATACTAAATTTACACCTGTTGCCGATAATACAAAGAAACTGCATGCCCACCATAATGACTCTTGAACGCAGTTGATGGCGCATGATATCACAGATCTGATCAAAGTTTAATATCGCGATCGACAACGTACCATCTCAGTGATGTTCCACGACTCGGAACACTTTACGAAATATTTATATCTAGATGGAAAACGGAAATATGCATGCGTATGCGCGTACGTAAGTGCGCGCGCACAATTATCCAGGTTCACGTCCTACTTACGATATCGAACTGCACGAGAGTTGGCCGTCCCGCAAAATGTTTCTGCCATTGACCGTTCGCTTGCAATTACGAATTACAATGCCCTGATATATTACTCTATATCACTGTGCCTTAAATAATATTGAGCACACGCATTTCTCAATCATGTAAATTTTCTAATAACAAGTATAACAACAAGTTTTCATTCTGAGACCCAGTTTTTCAGTTTGGAGAGACACGTGGACTATTTAAATTAAATAAGATTATGATATGTTAAGAACTACTTTACATTTTCTATTGTAATTGGCCGATTTGCTTTTTGCTTGAGTCTTATTACCTTTTTTTTATGTGTTTCTAAGTTAACATAAGCTAAAGCGACACAATATACTATATAAATAAAATTTATTTCTATTTAAAACAGCGTCATCATTATTTATGTTATTACTATCATTCTTTCTCTCAACAGATATCTTTTTCTTTGAAAAATATGACGATGAGTATAGACATCGTTCGAAAAGAATTCCAAGAATTAATTCTCGCGATATCATTTTCCTTGCAGCACATGGAAAACGCTGATAAGTTTTCCACGAATATGTACGATGTTTGTGAGATCGATCAAATATTAAATGAAGGTACGAGCTTGAAATCTCGGATATAGAAAAAAAAAAGCAGAATTTTATTATTTGTCACTTCAGTTAACCGTTGAAAAACATAACGTAGATATTTCATGCATTTATTTGCATACTCTTTGTAATACCAGTCAACGGGTATTTTTTTCCCCAGTTATTATTTCACCATTTATTATATGGAAAAAGATTAATGTAAAATGTATCATTCACTACAATAACAACGTCGAGTATCACGCGTTGATTAATTGAACTGAAATTTGCATGTATATAAAAAACTCGAATTATTTCCGCGACAGTATATGAGAACGATATCATTTGTTATTGAGATAAAGGTAAAAAACGATCATACATCAGATTAAAAAGAAAAAGGACTATGAAATCTCAACGGCAATGAACTGAAAGAAATATAAAAGGGCGTTCAATCGCTATAAACTGTTGATCAATATCGAACAACAAAATTCTCGTACAAAATTCAATTATATAATATGATTGTTTTTGAGTAAATCAATTAATAAATAAAATTTAAATTATAAAGATATGATACACTGAGAAAAATTTCTGATTGAAAACGAATCAATAGATTTTGATCATATCAATCAGAATTCCGGTCATCATAATCAGACAATGATTATCTTGATTAGAATTTATTTATGAATAGATTTATCTTTTTAATAAAATTGTGATTTGTATATTTTCCACTAGAATTCCAATTAATACAAACCAGACATTTTCCGGTGTATAATATGCGTGGTTATAATATAAATACAAATGATTATAATATAAATAATTTTAATAAAATATGTGTAATAAAATATGATATATAATTACTGTAGTTATAATTATATTTTTAATAATATAAAAAAATGATACAGTAGGAAATTATACAATAGAAAAATGCTTTTTCGATTTGAATTAGATCTTGGTTAATAATATTTTAATGTGAATTTATATACATCTAATTCTGTACACTACGGATTTAATTTTCGATCTTAAAATCCAGTCTTAAACTGAGAATGGGATAATAATATTACAAATTAAATTAATAAGTAATATAATAAATATCTTAAAATATTGTAAAGAATTTATTGTTAAAAACATTACCTCAGTCGAAATTCGAATCTCAATTTTTCTACTTTCTGTGACGAGCGTCTTAGAATAAAGTTATGGATCGAAAATTCTTTCAAAAATATTTTCTGAGTATTGCATTTCTGAATATATCTTGATATAAATTATATTATTACGAAGATATGTATGTTCAAGATGTAATGTTTTCACAAAAGTTCTCTCCTACATATTTTAGTTAACACTACAGCAATGTATATTTTAGTTTATCTCTCTTGTTATTAATTCAAATATTTATTTTATAGTTATATGGACAGAAAATATAATTCAGTTTTCATTCATCGATTGCTATTCCAATTTGCAATAACTAGAAATAATATTTTGCATATAAAATTTAATTCATCTCATGTTACAAAATTGCAGAAATTTAATAACTGTAACAACAAATAATAATTCGTAGATTTTTCATTAGTTGTTCAGATTCCTCGAATTTTCGGGACGTAATACAATAATTTGTAATTTAGTTAATTACTGTTTCGTTGCGTGCGATGTGCATGCAATGTAATTCCGTTTAACGCTCTTTAGCAACATGAAAGTTTAAATGCCGGTTTCATATTTCGCGCTAGCCTTGAATTCTCATAGTTTTTACTTAAACAACGATGTTTGTAAGTTCTCGCAATATAGCAAAGTCCTCATTACAGTAATGTAGCTTCTCAATTTCGCGGTTTTATATAGTGTACTGGGAACGTTCCAATTTATCATTATTACTCTTAAAAGGGCGAAAAGTTGGAAATTTCATAGAATCAGAACTTTCGCTCGTTAAAATCCTCGAAGCTCACTCCAAAAAATATTTCGTTACATTGATAACGAAATAATGAGTTACTTTTAGGTCAAAATCGAACGTGCAATTGAATTTAAATGACAACACGTGTTTGTTTCTCGAAGAAAATCACACAATATCATTTAAAATATATGTATCTTAAATATCGCGCGTATATAAAAGTGCTATCAATTATCCTAACGTTAATAATACTGAATTCTGTAATTAAATAATTACAAGTATAATTATTTAATACATATGATTATATTAACAATTTATAAATATTTTTATAACAACGATAACAATTTATTAATATTCTAGATACGCAAAGCATTTTCAAAATCACGACTAAGCAATTGAAAAATAAAAAATACACATTCAATAAGAAAGCTTGATTAAAAAAGGCCATTTATTATATATCCTGTTTAATATTTTCTATTTTTACTTTTTCTTTTAAATTTGTATAACATAATTTTCATAAAATATAACAAGAAATAATTTATTTTTAAAAATCTATTTTGTGAAAATGTGTCTCACAAATTTCAAACGTAATATTTTCATATTATATAAGGATCGCGAATAATTTTCTCTCCTAAGAGTCCCCCGTGAAAACATCAAATTATACTCGTATATACTTTATAAGCCGACTACTATTCCACTGTGCAATTGTAAATTTTGCTGGTCTCGTTCATTTATGTGTTAGCATTATTATTATATTTAATGACAATAATATTGTCTAATAGGTGTCCTCTAAACTTTTTTCCAATTTGTACGAAATGTTTCTCTTACAAAACTCGAAGTTCTCAAATAACAATATAATCTGCTCAGACAAAAAAATAAAAAACAGAACAGAGTCCTTAAACATATTTGCATTATGAGTAACATTTTGTTAATTTTTTATACATAACATAATTTTGAAATTAATAATAAAATGTATTCTTTCAAAGGAGATATATTAAAAGAAATAATCTAAACTGTCAAACCAATATGATTAAAACTAATCTTACATCGAGGAAACAGTCATGAAAAAGACACAGAGAAGAATTGTGAGCAATATTTAGAATTCAGACTGATAGAAAATGGTACCGTCTCATAAATCCCGTATAAAAATCTTGCAGGAGAATCATCTATCCTTTATCTAAAACATCATTTCTAGCGACAACAATTAGAATCAAGAGATACACATATACAATAGGGCAAGCGTGGTAAAAAGGAAAGAGTAGCCAGAAGGAAAGACAGGAACGGACACCGTGCTCCTCACGAAACAACTCACTGACCACTCGGCGAAGGTACGCGATCGGCTCGTCCGGCGGAAACGAGTTGTCGGTCGCTGACGACCCGTAAGAACACTCGCAATCCGCGATCCCCCGCGATCGTCCTCGAGGCGGAACCAACGGGGTTGGCGCCGTCGATGGTATTCGTGCCTGATACCCGCCATTTTTGAGGAAATCACAGAAACCGCCGGCGGACTTCGCGGCCGCGGTCCGCCGCGGAAGCGGAAACCCTTCGTCATCGTCGCGCCGTCAATGTTTCCGGAAGTACGATCGGATCGCCGCGAGATGCGTCGCATCGCGTCGCGTCGCGTCGCGACGTACGAGCAAGCGTGCGATTGCAGCGAGTCATTTCATTCATAGATAGCGATTACCGTACGTTCTGCCAACTTACGTGCTCGTCGCTGAGCAGATGGTCTATGACTGACACCCTCGATCCACCACGCGCCCTCGCGCAGCCAATGCTGCGAATTCCAGGCGGTCGCTCGCGCGCAGGTCCATGCACCCGCACCCTCGCTCTCGCCCTCGCTAGCACCCCCTCGCACTCGCATACTGTAGAGTGTAGTCTTTTCTTTCTTACTCGTGCCGATTCTCTTCTCCTTCGACTTTACCCTTTTATTCCACAAGATTGGTGTGGTACCGAGAAGCCCTACATTTTTATCTCGTTCTAAACTTTCGCTCATGGCCTATTTTTGGTTATACTAAAGCTTCGTTCTCTAATCTCGGTCTTTAGATCTTTCCTTCGCAAAATCGTAAAAATTTATATTGAAATAGGAGGCAATAAAATCACATGATATATTTATATAAAATTTCCACTTTATGTTTGAAGAATTATTTATTACTGTTCCGCTTAAAGTCGTTTATATACGCAAGAGTTATGTCATTTTTAAATTGTTTTCAAAATTGATTTTTTTTTCTATTTTTATTTCGATATAATTTATTTATTATTTAATGGATTGATACTAGGAAGGGAACCTAGTATTTTAATATTCATCTATTTATACTAGCTGCGTCTTTTCTTGCCTGCCTTCTTCTCTCAGTGTAATTTTTCAGCTATTTCGTCGTACATCTTTTTCTTATTTTTATGCAGCAAACTTGCGTTAATGTAATGGAATGCCTCTTGCCATACTCGATCTTTTTATCGCATTTCGTAACATTCTTTCTTTATTAAGCTCTTTCTCCTTCATCTCTGTCTTTCTGAATTACGTTTTCTCTTGTCCGGAGCTCCGCAAACGATTCTTCATTTGAATTATATTAATTGGAACAAAAATTCGTAGCGATATAAACTTTAAAATTCAAGCAGCAATACGTAACTTCGTTAAAATGCAAAAACAAAATTTCAATTTAAAAAAAAAGTTTGAAAGTTTAAAACCTCTATTTTCGCGAAAGGTCACTATGTCTTCCGAGTTGTTGTGAGTTTGGAATTTTTACATATAGAAAACAGAAAACTATGAGTTTGATAAAATGGAAAATTTACAAAATCATTTTTTTTCTGATGTTGCTAAGATTTTTTGTCATTGAGTTATTCAGATTAAATAAAAGTAGCATGTTAACTTTTGGGTTATGCCTAACTCCATTCAAAATCGTAACGCAATTCAGAAAACAGATTTTTAAAGCTGCAATTTTGCTCCAAATGTAATTGTAAAAATTAATTAGATTTCTTCTTATATTGATCTTTCTCATATACTGTTTAATTGTTAAACAGTAACAAAACACTTGCAATAAGAGAAAAATATCGTTTTCGATCCAAATCGATACAAAGTCTAAAACTCTTATATACAGCACATATCACGAGTGGACTGCAGAAGCCGATAACGAAACTACAATTTTTCTCTATTTCTTTTCGTTTTTCGTGTGAAATTATTGTCTGCGCACTGTGTTTTGTCTATACTTCAATTATGTGTGTGCAAAAAGATTTTTAAATCTGATGTAATTGTTATTAAAGATTGAAGGATTTAAAAATTAATCACATTTTATCGGTAAAACTCCAGCATCCTCGTAAGTATATATAAAATTTTATTCAACAAGGATATATTTTCTTTCAGCGCCACAATACGTCGCATAAATAATGAACACGTATAACGAATGACGGCTACAATGAATACAAAAACGCGAGAAGGGAACGATTGTGCAAGAAAAATTGAGAACACCATCAACGATCGAAAGCGTCGAGTACAATACGCTTTGTATCGGGGCGGAGTAAAGTTCCGAGGAGTTACCACGTGCCTTTGTGAATCTTTCATTGTTAAGTATCGGCAGGTGTCAAACGAGCTATCGCTGCACACATTGCGTAAATTGCTTGCGAGAGTCCCTTCGCTTCCTCATTGTTCTCCTAAACGCATCTGATGAACGGCGATAAACATTTCATTCCTACCAAATATTCTTGGAAGACCAACGAGAATAGTGTCGCCAATCGCTTTCGCAGTCGCGACAGTTGAGAAAATCCTTGTTACGAAACGAGACGTATCGCCGTCTTGACATTTCACTTTGCATAGTCGCTTTGTCTTCTTGCAATGTGGATCACTCGTTATCGAATTTTTTTCCTATTCACTTTCCGCTTTGTAAAACGTTGACAAGCCGTAAAAGAGTATCTGCCTGTTAAAGCGGCTGAATACGATATGTCTCTTTCAGCTTATTATAACGCATTAATCCACTATCAATGTAAAGTATAAATCGTTATTACTTGGAAAAAAATTTTCAAATTGCTATCATTTCGAAAATAAAAAATTATAAAATCAAAAAGTCAAAATAAAATAAAATATATTTTAAAATTAAAAGTTGATACTTTTGTGTGGCACTAATAAAATTTCGAAAAAAAATTTGCTGTCGAAGCTACAATGTCCTCAAATTATTGGTTTTTATAGTCTCTTTGTCGGTATTTTTCTCACAATAGTAACGTGATAGTTAAATTTGACTAATAGATTCATATTCAATAGACAAAAACACGTCAGAAATAACTATTCACACTCACGTTGCAAAAAAAGGAGTAACAATATTTTATAAAGTTGAGTTTTTTAAGCAAATTTGTGATATTTATAAATGCAATAACATTTCGTCCTTTAAACAATAACATTTTGTACTTTGAAGTTATTAATCTACAGAGAATCTATAAAGTATTACAATAACTATACATTTACAAATGTATATTCATAACGTTTTTAATTAATTAAAAATTAGTAAAAAGGAAAAAAAATATCTTATTTAATTTATTAAAGATAATTATATATATTTTACATATTACAATTAATTGTAGTAACTAATTAACAATTTCTATTATTGTCACGAATGGAAATTGTAATTAACGCAGAAATTTATCTTATCTTCGGCGAAAGATATAAGTTAACCAATCTACTTAAATGGCAAAGTAGTATAGTATCGCATTAGACGGACGATGCAGGCAGTTTGCTACTTAATCATTTGGCTCTATACACGATTCGCGTAATACTCAAAAAGATCGATATTATTTATCAATAGATTGTATTCGTTAAACATCATGTAGATAACAATAATAAAAGCAATGATGCCAATGATAGTAACAACGATAATGACAACAGCAATAATAACAAAAATAATAATGATAATGATAATGATAAATCAATAGTAATGTAATATAACGAAATATAGCTATTTAATAAGTGCAGTAAATTCAGGGAAAGCCTCGTATGATCACTATCACGTAATGAATACTTATTCTATACATGATTATAATTAGTAAATTTTCGTACAATCTCGTCAAATTATTCAAAGCTGTTCAAAGATCGAGGAAATGTGTAACTTATGAAATGCAATTACTGATCCATAGTCTAATTCATCGATAATCAGTAATCAGTCTAACAGAATTGTATAATGCATAATCGTGTGTCGCAGGATCCAATAAGTGTAAGCTTCAGCACAATTATAATGTGGCTTCAATGAATAAAGTTGTCATGCCCACCTGGCGGTGCTTAATGAAAGGAAAGAGTTGCGCGCGACATCGAGCATTTTTAAAGGTGCCGGAAGCGGCATCGGATACAATAACAGACAGGCATAGACGGACAGGCAAGGGTAGTTCCAATCCTGAGTGCGCGCTAGTAGTACGACAATAGCACAACACCGACATATATACCGGGTGCCGCGTATGCGTCGGTAACCCGTTCACGACTCGAACGATCTCGTTCGTTCTCAACTGTACCGACTGATGCGGTAATACCACTGAGGAGCTTCTCAGCATGTGGAACGACAGAACACGTCACATTCGCGACAAAATTGCAGCTTTTAAGGGAAAAAAGCCATGACTTACCGACGGTGTGTGAAAGCTTCGCGCTGTGCGACACACTTACCTACAAAAGAAAAAAGAAGCACGCATTAGAGGAGTGATTCTTTTTTTTTCTCAATTAGTCT